TGTCTTCTAACATTCAGAAGATTGTGCTATTGGCTGTGTCTGACCAGATAATGGTTTCATATATCTATTTATCTCCAATCTGAGTAAATGCCTAACCAAAAAAGCCAACATATGTACTAGGACGTGGTTTCTTCAGTACATAATCAACCCTCACGGTCCTTAAAAAGAAATAGACATTGGATTGCCATCTTCTAAAATTTACACCATCAAAACATTTTAGCCTTACAAAATCCTGGGTCATGGCCTTAAGTGAGTTTCTAGTAGCCATCTCATGTATAAACTCTTCAACACTTTGAAATTGTTAATCTTTCCTATTTCTCTTGAAATGAAATTCCGACAGAATCTCCCTGTGATCGAAGTCAAGTTTCAACAAGTATTTTGGAATACTATTACTCTAGTTAAACCCGAGGGTCTACATCTAGGTTGAGAGTTCTAGGGACAAGAAAACTCTTTAGTCTAATTAAACCCCAAGTAGTCATAAGGAGAGAGATTTAAAATTAAATGCAATAAAAAATTCAAGGTACCTGGAGACATGAGGTGGCCTCTCTTTCTTCAAAGTGTTAAATGCCATCTAACTCAAAAAAAATCACAAGATGGGATCGGCCTTGGCAAGTACGCTCTCAGTATATAGCTAGATCAATATTACACTTCTTTAATTACTTGACTCTCAATAACCCGTCTAAAACCACATCAGTTACTGATTTGTCACCGAATAGGTAACCATATCAATAGACATCGATTGGAGATAAATATTGTAGAACACTAACATTCATTGGTTTGATTCAAACGAAAAATCTTATTTGTTTGAAGTCCTCTGCAATGTGAACAAATTTCAGTGTTCACCATGTACTAAAAAGAGGAAGAGGTTTATATACATTTATAATTATGGCAACACATCATCAAGACATAGGTCAAAACTTGGTAAAATGTTACAAATGATGTGATATAAAACAAACACATAATATGTGTCAATGCCATTCAAGTTCATAAATTAAGGTTCCCATTTAAATTTGTGAATTAAAGACCCCCACATCCAAATTGAACAAACAGTGAAAAAATGAAAAAGTTGGTGTAGTACTCATGGATCAAAATAAAAAATAAAAAGTGTTGTCCAACAATAACGGTCTCATGACCATATTGAGCTATGGTCCTCAAGACCATGAAGACTAAAGTAATAAAACGGTCCAAAAGATATAGCTTGTTTTGAAACACAACAAAAGTCAAAACGCGTATAAAACACAAAATGGGGGGTCTGGAAATTTATTTTGAGACATGAGTTGCCGAGAGAGGGTTGGCCTGAAAACACCCTTACTGGTTCAATCCAAAATTTATATCAGAAAAAAATCTGAACCAGAAGACAAAATATAGTCCGTTGGAGCTGGATCAGACCATGGGAGCTCGTACTTAACTGCGAAGCAGTCATTTGCTAATCTTCAACCAATAGCCTCTAACATTCCTCCTTAGGAAGATTTTCCTTTTTCCCTTTGATGTTTGGATACATGAAAATGAGTGTCTTATCTGTGTATCATACTTAAAAAAAGTGCAAAATTACAGAAATGTGATGTTCTAGTCATGTCCAGGGCAATATCCTGGATCATAACCTTTTACCTACCATTATAGCATGTCTAAACCAAGTAAATTCTTCTTTAGTAAAGAGCACCTCTTACACCAAAACACGATCATCTAGAGAGGGAAACATATGCATGTAAAGGAAGTGGATAAGGCTCATTTGGCTTTGATTGTTGAAAGATGTGAGGCAAAGCCAAGGGTAAGGCTGGATAACATGCTTTTTCAAAAGACAATCTCAACTACATTTTTCTTGACTAGGTTAGGTTCGAGATCTGATGGACGAATGTGGGTGGGTTGAGAATAGGAGAGAAATAGGATTAAGTCCATGAGAACAATATAGTTTATGAATCCAGTTTGTAATGCCTATTGTCAGAAGCTTGGTTGTTCTTTTGCACGGCACACATCGTGAACCTCAAATGGAGGCAATTGTATTAATCAAGAAGAAAGGCCCAACTATTGATTCCTTCATACTAAACCATTACAATAATGGGTAAAGTCGTCTCATAATTTCACAGCAATTCCAACTTAGCAGGTCCATCTAAACCACGAGATATTTGAGATAGTCTTACTACTTACTAAACAATTAAGGGGGCAAAAAAAAATATCCCGTGGGAGAACAATAGGTATGTTTTTAGTGGCAGAAATCATCCTTCTGATAAGCCATAGTCAGCCGTATCCCTATTTGTTACAAGGAGTCACCACATTAGCCTTGGGCACTCATAAATTCACCAACTCAAATCATTTTCCATGATGGAGTTGTGGAAAATTCCCTGCAGAGGAGGTATGGCTACCTTCCATGAAAACCTCAGCAGCAGCCTTCTTCTATTTTTTTTTTTTGGCAGTTGCGGGGGGTGAAGGGGGTTTAATATTTTAAACTTTTTGGAAGTACAAAAGAACAGACAAGAAGCAGGGATGCCCAGGTCATCTCAGAAACTCCATCTAAAAACATCTCAATTGACAACCCTACTTGGCATGAGCTACCCTAAGCATATGGTGAAAAAAATACACATATCCACACATGCATCAAATATTTCCTCAATTATTCAACATATGAATATTTAGAACACCTCTCTTGGACCATGCAATAAGATTTAAGAAAATTGCCCTCTACTCTAGCACATCAAAACTTGAGACCAAGAAAATGAGGCTCCCAACAAATTACAAAAGTCAATGGGGAGCCAAATAGCCTAAATAAGTCACAACAAAGAGCTCCTAGCACCACTAAGAAACCACAAAATGCCTCCTGGCCTCAGATTGCCACCCAAACCAAAATCCAAATTTACCTCTGCATAGCTAGGATTTGCATTTGACCGTCCATGTTGCCCTCTCAAGGATGTTCCCGGCTCCAAGGCCACAAGCCTCCATTCTCTAAGTAGGTCAGTACATCCATACCCCAAATTCAAATCGGTCCATAGCCTGTGTAACTGCTCTTTCATGGACCTTCCCCATGAATGTCTTCTATGTGACCCTTAGGCCCTGAAATACATAAATTGCACTAAAGAGCATGGCAGCCATTCAAGAGGTCAGCCACTGAAATAGGAGTGAACCACACAAAACCAACCTGGTCCACAATAAAACCCAAACTTTATGTTTGAACTATGAAAGAATCATCAAGTGGTCAATTGACTCAATGTCCTCCTAGCATTGATACATTGGTCTTTATTCTTTGCTCTTTATTCGACTATTTGATGATAAAGACAAAATTGTAGTGTGACAATAGAGTGACAGACCTCTAAAGTAGATAGACTTCTCTCCAGATGTGTTACAAATGCTGTAAGAAACTCCAGTGAAATGGCATTTCCAGGTGAAGACAGAGTAATTAGAAGAAAGCCTCGCCATATGGAGTTATCTTGTGATAGTTTCAGAAATTATATCATCAACAGATTCACAGGTCACATGCCATCAGTTCTGCATTACGCACGTATATTTAACTGTTTCACATAGCTGCCCATTTAAACCTTGAATGACACCCAGGGTGCTTCAATGAACTGAATTCTTCCATTTTGAATTAGGGATTTCACAATAATGTCTCAAGTAAAGGAGGCTGAACCTCACATTAACTGAAGATGATCTGAAGATATTTGAAAATTAAACATGTTTTATAGGAAGCGTAGAGAATTAACTTATTTTTAGATACATGTCCCTACTAGTTCTCCCAGAAAATAGGTATGCTGCAAGTTAGAGAACGTGCAAAAAATGTTCAAGTAACAAAAGTAGTGATGTAGAAAAGAAAGAAAAGCTAAGAGATGGGATGGGTATCAATTATATCTCCAGCAGAGCAGAGGTGTTAAAGAAGGGGTAATAAGAGATAACCACCATGGTATGTCGGATATAGGCAAAGAGAAGAGATCCTCATCAGGAAACTGTGACTAGATTAGCAGAGTACTAAAGGCTTAGAAGAATAATAAGAGATAACCACCATGGTATGTCGGAAATAGGCAAATAGAAGAGATCCTCATCAGGAAACTGTGACTAGATTAGCAGAGTACTAAAGGCTTAGAAGAACACAATAAGAAAAAAAACATAATCATCAAATGCTCGAATCAGAAAGGAAGCAGTGTGAAGCACTTCACAAGATTTAGGCAGAAAACATGTGTGGAAATTAAAAGGCACACATACAATAGACACGGCAAGGTTTTTCTGGAATTGCAGACAGTAGGCATGAGTCAATGGGTGTGAAAAAATGCCACTTGCTGCAAACAAAGCAGAGAAGAGGTATGTGGAACAGGCCAAGTAGGCCTATCCACAGAGGAACTGCGAGCGAACAAGGAGGTCAATAAAGACTCAAAGACCCAGACTGGGATCAATCAATAAGATGCAATTACAATGCAAATACGTTGAAGTATGAATCATATATTCAACAAGAGATATACATGCAAATATATACTTTTACCTACGCCTCATGTAGGTCATTCCAGGAATGTGAATAGTATATACAACATTTATTCTATTTAGCATTGTAGCGAACAAGAACTAGAGTAAGTTACAGACATGTTAATGGAATGTCATCTCCATAGTAAGACGTCCCATGTCCATTTTTATGTGAGAACTAAACTTTAGACCAAACCAATCTAACAGGAAACATGTCCATGCACATGTATTGATGAGCGCAAACACATACATAAACCATATACTGCATGGAGATAAAAGCAAGGAAAAGTATGCTATAGACATAATGCATAATACACAATGCATAAAGTGGAATCCACCATCCATCCTCCCTGATGGCTATCAGAATGAATTGTCAGTCTTCCAGCTTTATGACAGCACTAGACATCCAAGTAATCCAACAGTTTGTCTCCACCACCCGCTAGGGAGGGACAGGGGATTCCCCTTGTGTACTGTATAAGATAGGTATTATGTGCCTAAGTGTTGAATCACCAGAAATAAACCGACATTCACAATCTTCATTAATATGAAAGAATTCTTACCTTATCAAAACCATCTAGATCTGGGGTGGTCAACATTTTCCTGTTCTCCATCATTGTCGTATTCAACCAGCTGAGATACAAAAGGAGGAAAAATAAATGGAAGTTTACAACGGAACCATAAAGAATCACATAAAAATATGGATGATAAATATTATTCCTTCAAAACATCCAAGATCCAGTAAGGAACTTCTTTAGGTTGAGCAAGAAACACCATTATCAGGAATGGAAAGAAGAGAATATCACGTACCAATAGAAATCTCCTTGTCGATCATGAAAATGGATTTTGAAGTCACCTGCCACCTCTGTCAATCCCCGTTCCCCAGGTAGGGCAAACACCATTATTCCCTTCCTTGGTGCACTAAACCAGAAATCTTCAGGCTGCAGAATGGGTTGATGCATTATCATTAGTTGAAAACTTAAGATATCTCTAGAATACTGAGATGACAGTTATCTGCTAGGTACTTCCAATAAAGATGCATGTCTTCCTTAACTTCATTTGATTAACTTGTTGATTGAAATTAGCAGAGAGCATAGTACACTGGCTCATAGTTACCGGGATCTCCTACTTTGGTAGTTGATCCCTTCTTGGATCTCAATTCTGTCGCTCCCGGAACGGATCTCTCGGGGATCTTGATTTTAATTTTTTGGATCTCAAACTCCACTCATAGGGATCCCGATTCCTACTGTTAGGGATCTCGATCCCAACGTTAAAGACCAAAACAACAACCAAACTGATGATTTCCTGTGTTTATTGCCAACTAGCAACACAACTATTTCTTGCTTGCGATCAATAATGAAATCCTTACTTTAAAGAGTATACTTAATCCTAGATTATCATACACTTTAAGGTTGGTAACAAGATCCGCAAAAAGTTGGGGTCAAGATCCCAAATGGTCAGGATCAAGATCCCCAAAAGGTTGGAAAATCGATCCCTACCATTTGGAATCTCGATCCCTCACATGCGCATTGTACGAATGGCATTCCCAAACCATAGGGATCTTCTAACATTTCACAATCTCTCACTCCCGATCCCAATCTCGGTACAAGCATTTTCTATATCAAACATTGATGATTGTCTACATGCCTCCTTAGGTACAAGTAAATATATGTGTAGGTTTTTACGGAGAAGTGGAGGAGAGGGAAGGAGATCTTTCAATACTTTGATATGAAAGTCCTTTGCTGAACAATGACAACGGAAAAAGTACGAGTGTTTTTCTCCTTTTTTTTGGCTAGGACAAAAAAGGGGAAAAAAAAAGGCTTGATGATGTGTTACATGCAGGTAATGTACCAAGCATTGATTCTTTCAGCAGTGGAACCTTGCTCTTATGTTATCAAATCAATACCTAGAAGTGGCTTTGTAATTTTCTCCAGCCTATATTACTGACAAAACAATTGGTTTGAGGTCCTACATGCAGAACTTTGTTATGAAGAATGCGGCATGAGTAGCAATCTTGTCTTAAGGCACAAATAAGCCTTTCAATTGCAACAAAAAGGGTGCCGCTTGGATAATCATGGCTATTCTTTCTCCTAAAACCTGTTGGACACGACTCAGCCCTTCGGGATTCATGTCAATAAAGCTTATCAAACCTTAGCAGTTCATATATAAACAAATGCCATCAATTATATTTTTAGTGTTTGTATAAACAGCTGCATGTTAGAATGAAAAGAACCTTACAAATAAAAACTATATTTGTTCGGAGCAGGAGCGAAAGACTGGTGATTACTAAAAGCTCCCAAGTTAGGAAGCTCCATAGAGCGCCCATGCAAAAAATATTAATAAATAAACAAAGGAAAATATTCTTATAAATAAAGAAAAATAATCTACACAATAAACTGGGAACAAGAGAAGGTGAAAAAAATATCTTCAAACTAGCAAACATGAGAGCAGAAGTGTAAGGATCTAGACTATATCAAATGCCTCTAAGTGTAAGGATCTAGACCATATGAAATGCATCACAAGTGACGATCACAAGGTCTTGGTGAAGGATGACGACGTCAACGAAAGGTCGAGAGTTAATTTTCAAAAATTGCTAAATGACAAACACAATGGAAACACAACGTTAGGAGGACCCATCAGTATAAGTAAGGGCAAAGGTCATAAATATATTCGTAGGATTAGGATATCTGAAGCGAAAGAAGCTTTGAGAAGGACGAACATAAAGAAGCTTTAGGACCAGATGGTATCTCGACAGAGGTTTGGAAGTGCATGGGGGAGATTGGTACATGCTGGATGACCAAGCTCTTCAACAAAGTGTTGAGAACAAAGAAAATGCCGAGAATAGAGGAAAAATATCATGGTACTTATTTACAAGAACAAAGGAGACACACAGATTGTGCGAACTATCAAAGGACCAAGCTTATAAGGCACACTACGAAGCTGTGGGAGATAGTGATAGAGCAACGACTAAGGCATGAAAAGAGTGCATCAAGAAATCAATTCGATTTTATGCTAGGGAGGAATACAATTGAGGCAATTTTTCTACTTAGGGAACTGATTGAGAAGTTCAAGAAGGGAAAGGATCTCCACATAGTTTTTGTTGATATAGAGAAAGCTTACAATAAGGTACCTAGAGATTTAATTTAGGCGTTGGAAAAGAAAAAGAGTCTCCAAATGGTATATTGACATGGTGAGAAATATCTACGAGGAAGCACTAATTAGTGTGCGGACAACTAGTGGAGAGACAAGTGAGTTTTCTATGACAATAGATCTACTTTAGGGATCAGTGTTGAGCCAATATTTCTTTGTTTTAGTTATAAACGAGTTAACTGGGCACCTACAAGATGAGATACCATGGTATATATTGTCCGCAGATGACATAGTTTTGATCGATGAGACTAGAAGTGGCGACACCACAAAGTTAGAACTAAGATAGAAGATATGGAATGCATGTTTAGTAAGAATAGGAGTAGAAATGAAGAAATAATTAAGATTGATAGCCAAAAAAGACCTAAAAGAGAGTCTTTTCAATATCTTAGGTCGATAATCTAGGAAAATGGAAAGATTGAGAAAGGTATCGCATATAGAATTAGAGTTTTGTGGAAGATGTGGAGATGTGCATCTGGAGTTTTATGTGATCGTCGCTACCAATGAAGCTAAAGGAGAATTCTATAGGACAGTTGTGAAACCAACTTTGCATTAGTGGACGAAATGTTGTGCGGTTAAGAATTAACATATCCATAGGATGAGTGTAGCTAACATGAGGATGTTGAAATGGATAAGTAGCAAGACAAGAAAGGATAGAATTCGAAATGAATACATTCAAGGGTACTTAAGTGTGGCTTCTATAGGCCATAAAATGAGGGAAAACAGACTTAGGTGGCTGGCCCTGTGCAGCATAAACCCAATCAGCAACAGTTTTGAGATGCGATTTGGTTCAAGTTGAAGGCTCTAAAAGGGCAAGGGGAAGGCCCAAACGAACATGGATGGAAGTAGTGAGAAACGATATGGGGACTTATGATCTTATTGCCCTTGATAGAGCAAAATGGTGGAAAATGATTCGTATAACCGACCCCAAATAGTTACGATAAGGCTTTGATGATGATGATAATTTTCACAAGGCCTTTAACGTTGTCCATTTATTTTTGACACTGCAAATTTTGCACAAATGTTTAATGAGGTAATTGGGCGAGCCTTATAACAATAGGTATGGCCATTCATTACCTTTGGACTATACACATGTTGCACAAATATTAATCAAGTAACTGGCGTACCAGAAGCCCTAGCCTTGCTAGTTCTTCGATTAACCCAATCCAATCATTTTTTCCCTTTTTTTTGTTGTGGTTTGGAGGGTCGTTTTGCTTTGTGGAATTTTTTGAAGCTTTCTCTTTATACCAACATTTATGGTTTCACCGTTCTTCCACGTGTTCACTGTGAAAATCCCACAGAGAGGAATGTGATTCCAGGGATCTATATAATGGAGTGGAGAATGTTCAAAGTTGAGAGAGAAAGGAAGAGATGGGGATTAATTGACGTTGTGAGAGTTAAGAAAGAAGAGAGGAAGAGATGGGGATAAACTCCAGTGTTGGCTAACATTGAAATGGAAACGATGTCGGAGTTGTAGAGGAAGATAGGAAAAGGGTAAGCAATATCAAGGGATTCTATAATGATGGTTTTCGAAATAAGGGAAAACATTGATTATGGCCGGTCATGGTACTTATCAAATGTCGAAGTTGTTGAGAAAGTAGAGAGAAAGGAAGAGATGGGGATCAATTGTGGAGCTAAAAGTGGAAAAAACTAGCCTCAAGCTTGAAGGAGCAAAGCAAGAGGGGGGAGACATTAATAAGCTCCTAAGGGATGTCGGTTTAGAAAGAAAAAAGAAACAAATGGATATGGATCAACTATTGAATTTGTTGAAGTGGAGAAATTGAACTTGCAAGGAAGACGAAGAAGAGAGGAGAGTCTTGGGGGACAGTTGCTGAAAGGGAGAGTCACTGGCATGCTATTAGATGCATAGACACGTGGACAATTGGATCCACATGATTGATGTTGATGCCGATGATATGCCGTTCCTTCTCATCTAAGGCACAGAGCAATAAGCAAGAGGACATGATTGACGATGAGAAAGAGGGAGAGAAGGGAAGTTGCCAAAAGGATGAAAGGGAGATTAGATATATAGAGGAGATAGAGAATTGGAAGCTTTGATTTCACCATGGTTTATTTTGCTAGTCAAAAATTGGAGAGAGAGAGGGAGAGAGAGAGAGGGACAAAGAGAGAGATAGAGAGAGAGAGGTGAAAGGATTTCACTCGGAATGGAAGAGAGAAGAGAGGATAGAGAGTTCACAGAATTGGGTAAACCGGGGGACTAGAATCCCTGGTTTTCCTCTCAACTTGGGTGTGAAATCCGCACCGTTCTAATAAATGGAAGATGCAGATAGCTGCAGTCCAAAAGGATATGGTTGGAAGTAGTGAGAACCGATGGGGACTTATGGCCTCGCTGAGGGTATTGCCCTTAATAGAGCAGCATGGCAAACCAAGATTCGTGTAACCGTCCCCAATTAGTCGTGCAAAGGCTCTGACAATGATGATACACCTTGGGGATCCCCCCTATTTCTTAGGCACAACCCTCATGGGCTACCAACGTTCCCTTCAATCTGCCAAACTCTAACAAAGACCCTTAGGATGGAGAGATCACAAGATCCACCAACCCCACAAATCTGCACCCATGACCTCAGCTAGAAGTTTACATATACTACAAACCAAGCTCATGTGTTGATAAGTCTAGCACTCACCACATCCGACACCTTTGGAACAAGGGTAATGAAGGTGGACCCAAGACCCTAACAAATGGTTCCCCCTCTCATAGAAACTCCTCAAAGTGCAGCAAAAAGTTAAGCCTCGCCACCTCCAAGAAATTTTTTGGAAAATGCCATAGAAAACCCATCTAGCCACAAAGCTTGATCTCTTCCAAGAGGAAATACCACCTCTCAAATTTTATCCTCCTTGAAAGGAGCCTCCTAATCATTTATCATTTCCCCCATCAATCTATCAAACTGCAACCCATCGACCGTCAATCTACCCCAAGGATGAGTTGTATATAGCACTTCGAAAAGAACCTAAAATGGACCTTTCCATCCCTTCTTGGTCCTCAAACCCTTCAATCAGCCGAAAGATAGAATTGATCCTTCTCTTCAGAGGCTAGCTATGAAAACAAGCAATACTTTTATCACCTTCTTTCAGCCATCTCACCCTTGAATGTTGCCCCAATATGCTGCTTAAGCATCTTCCCAAATTCCAGCTTATGGTTCAATATAGACAAAACCTCCTCCTGAGAAAGGGTCGAGATCTCCTCCTTTTGCTCCAACAATGATGTCTTTTGCAAAATATCCTCCTTTCTTCAAGCCTTGCAAAAACTTGTGTGCTCCAATTCTTCAACATCACTTTAAGACCCATAAGCTTGCCTGATGAAAGCCTGCCCAATCTTCCGACTGACAAGAAGCCCAATAATCCAACCACTATGTCCTTGAAGTTAGGGTTCATTAACCACCCGTTTCAAACCTAGGAGGACTAAGGCTGAAGCTGAGTGGATGACGTATCAAGCAAAATGGATTAGTCGTCTGATATAACTAGAGGAAACACACAATTTAAAATCAATATATGTAACTTGCAAATGCACTGACAGGAGAAATCGGTAAACATTTGACATCACATCTCCACTCCAATTGGACCACATAAAATTGGCCCCTTGTATAGGAGTATCCACAAAGTCAGATCAAAAAATGAAGACATAACTCAAAAAGATTCTCATGCCAGTGGCCCCTCCAAACCCAAGCAATAAGATTGCAGTCCAGCTTAGATATTCACATCTCCACTCCAGCTCGAACACACAAGAGGTAACTCTAGCCTTCTTTAAAAACCAGCTAATGCCGAAAAAAAGCCCTTCAGATAAAGAAAAACATGGATAGTACTCCAAATCCATTAAATATGATGACACAAAATGATGCATAGTATTTGTCGTTGATCACACAGGCTGCAAGGAAGATAACAAAATAGGGAAAAACATTCTATGAGTGAAAGAAAAGACGAACTTCCAAAAAATATTTCACATCTTGAGAAGAGCAACTATCCAAATCCTTTAAATATAATGACACAAAATGATGCATAGTATTCGTTGATCACACAAGCTGCAAGGAAGATAACAAACTAGGGAAAAACGTTCTATGAGTGAAAGAAAAGATGAACTTCCAAAAACTATTCCACATCTTGAGAAGAGCATATTCTGATTTCAGACAATGAAAAGCAAGTGAAATTTACAACAAGATCGAGAATCAAAAGAATATCTTAAAAGGGAGGAGAATAATAGAGACTCAGGTAAGTGAAGAACAATATAACAGTCATTGTGGGTACAAAAGAGGCTCCAAGAACTTCATGGTAGGGTATGAGAAGCGAGAGGGACAAAAGGGGATTAAACTTTCAGAATATATTTTAAGAATTTATTGAAACACAAATAAAGATAAATCAATTGAGGCACAAATTGGCGAGGTTCACAGAAATTGAAATCAGAATATAGCAGAGACGGATCCCCATGCCTTTGGATAAATTTCTGAGGACTGAAAAGACCTTAAAAATTCCAAAAAACAACACAATAAAAACAAGCCAAGAGGGAATGTAAAAAATTTAGCACACAATGTATTACTTGCATGGGCCTTTTGGTTAGTCAGGAATAACTTAAAGGATTCACTTAGAACTCCAAGAAGAAGTATGTGTGGGTGATAGAAAGAACTGCCAAAAAAGTGGATCTAGGGCGAGAAATGCAGACGAGACTAGAAAGAAGATTTAGAATCTAAGTTCAGTGAGTCTAAAGTCCCATATTGGAAGAGAGGAGACCGAGTTTGGGGGAGCGTATCTTTTAAATTTTATCTATTTCTATTATTCATCTTGGAGTGCTTGTATTGAAAAGGACTTGGGACATATACGAATTTGGAGCTTATGTTATTCTGGGACAAATTTATTTTATGAAAGAAAGGAGTTTTTTTTCTCCCTTTTAGCTTGATTTGTAGCCATACTTCTCCGATTTGTTGCTGTTTTTCACTTGTTCTAAGATCGACAAAGGATAGGATTTAATTTCCCAAGCCCATTCCCCATCAATGTATCATGAGATAAGGAAAGGATATGCGACACTCTGATACATAACTAAAATACGTTTAGAAAACTCCAATGGCTATCATATACATTGAAACTGAAGGACCATGCAATCACTTTCCTTATCTCATGATAGGATAGCAGTCACTTTCCCCAAACCGAAGGACTATGCAGTCACTCCAATCTTATGTAGCCACTTTCTCCAAGTCACACTCAAGCACATCCTTCGGAAGGCCAAGACTCAGGCGGATGGACTAGCTAAGGAAGGAGCTCTCAATGTAACAGGCGCACCCCCTATCTCTTGATCCCCCCTCTTTCTATTTCCTTCCTTGGTCTCTAACCTCTCATTCCTCTCGCTCTATTTCTTTTACCCCTGCCCTCCTCCCCTCTCCACTTCTCATTCTCCCCCCCCCCCAAGAAAAAAAAAAAAAAGGGAGGGGTAGGAAAGGAGTAAAGGAGAAAAAAAAAAGCGAAAAAAAAATAAAGGGAAAAAAAAGGAAAGAAGAATAAAAAATAAAGGGAAAGAAAAAGAAAAACGAAAATATTTATTCTGCAGTAGAAGTATTTTAAATACCGCTCTAGTCTTTTGTTTCTGTCATCTCTCTTCAACAACTGCCTCTCTCTCCACAATATCTCTCTCTCTACCCACACAGTTTCTCTCATTGCTTCCCCCTCTCTCCCCAATCTCTCCCTCATCTCTCTGCCATATTGTGAAACTTTATGCTCTAAGCCCCTCTCACTTCTGCATATTAAGTTTCTCTTCTAACCCCTCTTAAACCACCTTGTCTCCTCTCAAGCTTACCCTGCTGTACCAGCACCCACCCCCCCCACCCCCCCTCCTCCCCGTCCCCCCTTCCCTTTCTATCAAGTAGCAACATCAGCTATTGGGAGATCACTCTCTTCCTCATTATTTTGAGCAATAGGTACTGTTTATGAAGGCTCCTTTTATTTCCACCGTTTGTCAATCTCTTATTTCCTCCCCTTCTCTACTCTGTTTTGTAAAGAGCTTATCTCTCCGGCTCTTCTTTTCTCTGCTACTATCCACTCACATCTTTCTCTCTCTTTTATCTTACAAACAATTCTTTTCACCTGAGCCTTCTCACCCAGATGCCCCCTCTTTCTCCCTGTTGCTTTTCTGTTTTCATCCACTTCTCTCTCTTCCCCTTAGCCTTCTCATCTTGGGCACCTGCCCATATCCTGCTTAGCTGCTAGCAAGATCCGAAGACCCACAATCAACGTAGAAGACAATGCCAGATTGACTTGAAGACCCGTAGTTGACGATGAGCACCTTTTGAAGTTCTTGTAATTTTTTTCAATATTTGTTTCGCATATTTTTGTAGTATCTTTTCCTTTTTTTCTTTTTTCTCTTTTATTTCTCAACATCTCTCTCCACCCACTCCTCTCTCTCTCTC